CGGACCAAGAGTAGATGAATGATGTGTATGTGTCATCCATAGTAAGTATAATAGTAATAGTAATCCCCCATATAGTAATTAATCCCCCATATAGTAATTAATCCCCCCATATAATTCAATAATTTATCCCCCCATAGTAATTCCCCCATATAGTAATTCATCCCCCATAGTAATTCACCCCCCATAGTAATTCATCCCCCATAGTAATTCATCCCCCCTATAGTAATTCATCCCCCTTAGTAATTCATCCCCCATATAGTAATTCATCCCCCATAGTAATTCATCCCCCCTATAGTAATTCATCCCCCATATAGTAATTCATCCCCCATATAGTAATTCATTCCCCATATTAATTCATCCCCCATATTAAGTCCCCAAGTCCCCCCTGTGTCAATTCACTTACCTTTGCTCCGCGCGTTCCTCTCGCCGTCTTCCCGCGCCGTTCAGGTGTAGCATGAAAATCTGTCTCCTATGAGGATCTGTCCCCCTCGACGTATCTGCGCATGTGCCAGTTTCAGGCATTAGCAGCCGATCGGCGATCTCCGGCACATGCGCAGATACGTCGAGGGGACAGATCCTCATAGATTTTCATGCTACACCGGTCTTCAGGGCGGACTGTGAGAGGAGCCTAGCTCCGCGGGCCGATTAAAAGGTCCGCCGGGCCGTATACGGCCCGGGGTCGTAGTTTGCCCATTGCTGGGCTAGACACATGCTTAGGACTATAGAGCAGAGAAGGGAGAGTGGGCAAATACCTCCAGTGTCAATATATGACAGCTAATAGATCAGTCAGATCAGGGCACAGTATTCTGTCAGAACCTTATTTACATGGCTCAGCTCAGGGTTCCTTCCAATTCTAGAGGCTGCCATTGCAGAAACTAGCCAAAGGCCGTACAAGTGTGTACAGCTTAAAGGCATGTCACATGCCTGCCCTGAACTAGCACCACTTTCAGGGGTCAGCTAATGGCAGCCTTTTATATGAGCCTCAGCTCAGCTAGGTATGTAGGTTTCTGACCGGTTTTCTTTAAAAACAAATTCCTGAAAATGGGACCTGAACTAAGGAAACACTGAACAGTAGAAAAAAAACCAGAGCGAAGAAAAGACACATGACACAGTGATAAAAAAAAATTATCATTTAATCGCAAAAATATTTATTTCAGAAATTACAGTTATTTATAGTGAACATGATGTATCTAGGCAGAGATCTATAAACTGAAAACAAACAGCATGATGCCTCGCCATTTGTGCCAATTTCTGAAGTTAATCCAGGTCATTTCCACCCAAAACAGTTTCATGTTTGGGTGCACATGGCCGAGTTAAGTCATTTTCCCCCTTTTTATAGTCTTTTTTTCCCCCCTCTCTATTGCTTGAAGGTTCAGGCAGAAAGATCTTTCCACCAAAGTTGGCCATAGATAGGCAGATGGCTTCTCAAGAACGAGGAGCTAGGAGACATCTGTCCATTCTCAACCACATCGGGGACATCCAACTACTACTGAAGTGACTCACCTTACAGACTGTAGGGCACGTGTGGTTCACTACTCCCTATTCTGACTGGCCAGGTGGCCTAAAGTTTTTCCTAACCAACTGGGAAATCTCTGACAACAAAAGAGATTGATACATCAGGCAGATGGAGTGGATTCATGCAACATCTTGCTGCTGGTCTTTTTGAGGGACAAAAGAAGCCAGTTTGTGCACAACTCCAGCCACAACTTTTTTTCTCCAAGTTGTTTAGAGCAATGAAGGGTTAGAACCTTTGCCAAGTTTTTATTGCTGTCTGAATTCCCATTAGAGAGATTTCCCCAATGGCAAGACATGATGGGATAAGGCAGGAGGGTTAAAACATCTGGCAGTTTTTATTGCTCTCTTGCTTTATTTATCTTCCTGTCCCAATGACATCCACATTCCCTCATTTCTTGTCCTGGCAGCACCAGGACAGGAAGAGAAGGAATATCTTCCCAATGGCGACGCAAACAGCAATAAAAAAACAACTTCTCCCCCATTCATTTGAAGACTTAAAAAAAATTTTGACTGGAGATTTATGCAGGCCATAGATGGTCGAAAATCGGCCGATTTTTCTTTTAAAAAAACGAACAATCGGTCGTTCAAGTGGTCGACGTTACCACCAATGGTAAAAAAAAAATCGGCCAATTTTCATCCCGTCTACAGCCGGCAAAAAGTGTCCCTGCAGAGAGCTCTGCTATTTCTGACAGTTCTCTGACAGTTCCTTGACATTTACAGCGGTTGCAACATTGTATCTATTTGTTTCCATTTAGGATACAGATGTTTTTATTCGGAAACAAATAGATACAATGTTGCAACCGCTATAAATGTCAAGGAACTGTCAGAGAACTGTCAAAGAAATAGCGTAGCTCTCTGCAGACACTTTTTGCTGGACTGGAATTCCTCTTATTTTCATCCTTCTTCTTCTTCTTTTTCATCCTCATCCTCTTCTTCATCCTCTCTCTTCTTCATCATCCTCATCCTCTTCTTCTTCCTCATCCTCTTCTTCTCTCATCCTCTTTCCTCATCCTCTTCTTCTTCATCATCCTCATCCTCTTCTTCATCATCCTCTTCTCATCGTCCTCATCTCTTCATCATCCTCATCCTCTTCTTCTTCATCCTCCTCATCCTCTCTTCTTCATCATCCTCCTCATCCTCTTCTTCTTCATCCTCCTCATCCTCTTCTCCTCCTCATCATCCTCATCCTCTTCTTCTTCATCCTCTTCTTCATCATCCTCATCCTCTTCTTCTTCATAATCATCCTCTTCTTCTTCTTCATCCTCATACTCTTCTTCTTCATCATCCTCATCCTCTTCTTCATCCTCATCCTCTTCATCATCCTCATCTTCATCCTCTTCTTCTTCATCCTCATCCTCTTCTTCTTCATCCTCATCCTCTTCTTCTTCATCATCTCTTCTTCTTCATCATCATCATCCTCTTCTTCATCATCTCATCCTCTTCTTCATCCTCATCCTCTTCTTCATCATCCTCTTCTTCTTCTTCTTCATCCTCATCATATCTTCTTCATCATCATCCTCATCCTCTTCTTCTTCATCCTCTTCTTCTTCATCCTCATCCTCTTCTTCATCCTCATCTTCTTCTTCATCATCCTCATCCTCTTCATCATCCTCATCCTCTTCATCCTCATCTTCTTCATCATCCTCTTCTTCTTCATCATCCTCATCCTCTTCATCCTCATCTCTTCTTCTCATCATCCTCTTCATTCATCATCATCATCCTCTTCATCATCATCCTCATCTTCTTCTTCATCCTCATCCTCTTCTTCTTCATCCTCTTCTTATTATTATCATCCTCATCTTCTTCTTATTATTATTCATTCCTCATCCTCTTCTTCTCCCTCATCTTCTTCTCTTCTTCTTCCTCATCCTCTTCTTCTTCTTCATCCTCATCCTCTTCTTCTTCTTCATCCTCATCCTCTCTCATCATCCTCATCCTCTTCTTCTTCTTCATCCTCTCCTCTTCTTCATCATCCTCTTCTTCATCATCCTCATCCTCTTCTTCTTCTTCTTCTCTTTCTTCCTTCTTCCTCATCTTCTTCTTCCTCATCTCTTCCTCATCCTCTTCTTCTTTTTCTTCTTTTTTTTGTCTTCCTCTTGCAGGTCACTGCTCATGCGCAGATTTTTTATCGGTAAAAAATCGGCCGATTAGCCCATTAATGCCGCGAAAATCGGCCGATCGGACGATTTTTTTCCAACTTTACCAAAAAAAAAAAACGGCCAAAATCCCGAAAAACGGCCGAACAAATAGCCCACTAACGATCCGAAAATCGGCCGATTTTATTTTCGGCCAAAAAATCGGCCGATTTTCGACCCATCTATGGCCTGCATTAAAGTAGAAGGAAAGACAACGGAGAGATTTAATAAAACCCAGAATCTGGTACAGCTGTGCATGGTAGCCAATCAGCTTTTAACTTCAGCTTGTTCAATGAATCTTTGACAATAAAACCTGGAAGTTGATTGGTTTCTATTCAGAGCTTCACCAGATTGTGCACTCTCCGGTTTTTGTAATTAATCTACAACGCAATCACTTACCTTTAAATGCTGCCTCCCCACTACTCTTATACTTCTTTCAATCAGTTAGTAATAAGTCTTAATGGAAATACAATTATTTTACTTTTTCTAAGTGATCACATGACTGCAAAGCTCTGGCGTGTGTCTGTTGGAGCAGGGCCGAAAATGGCTCTGAATCCTGAAAGCTGTGATGTCATACTACTAGTTTCCATGAGAGCGGTTGGGCCTCAAAAAGGTCATGATAGATTGAAACCTTGGGCCAAAGAAATAACAATAAAATAAATTCTGCTGTTCAAAAATGAAAAAACATCAAACAAAACTCATAATATAACACAGCGCAAATAATAATGCAAACATAAATGAAATTATAATATATAAGTCTCAGAAAAATCCCAAATTAAAGTCCAGTGTCCCAAAAAAAAAACCTGATCGAAAAGGTGAAGGAAAAAAAAAAAATATATTTTTCATGCCTACCAGTAACTTTGTCAGACACCCACCGGAGCACTGCTGTCATGTGACCACTCGTAAAAAGTTAAAGAAAAATGTATCCACATTGAGATTTAATACGGATTGCAGGAAGTAGAAGAGCAGTGTAAAGGCAACTTTTAAAAAAGAGGGTGACTGTATGGTCTTTCCATCTACTAAAATATCAGGAATGGGGTTTCTGATCCCTTATAATTTATATGATTACTAGTTTCAGACAATATCACCTGTAGACAGGCATATAGTCAGTAATCACATAGCTGAGCATGACAATAAGTACTGCCAGACAGGCAATAATTGTCCTCAAAAGTTCGACTATGACACAGCTGTTTTATTAATCAGTGCAATAAATGTGCAGCACACAAAAGGGTTCAAGCATTATCCAGTTGCATATTCTTCCTGCATTGCTAGATACCCCTGAGAAGCTTCACTGGGTAAACAAGAGGCTTCCATATACAGGGTTGAGGTACCAAAAAAAGCTTTACAAGTTCAGACTTTAATGCTGGGCAGTGGCAGGATGCCAATTTCTTTCCTCAGAGATTCCATGCTCTGCTCCCAGCGCTTCTCATAGTAAACACTGAGGACGCATCGGGCGTTACGGCCACTCTGAACCGCCCAAGGAACTAGTTCAATCAGTTTCTTTTTTCTTCTGCAAAAGAGAAGTGGTAAGGCAAACCAGTTATATAATTTTCTATAAAAACTTCTAACCACTAGCAATATCTATATACTAACCTTACTCAGAATGTGTAAATGTAATCTTGGAACAGCAAATTAAGTTTCATTGATTATCACGTATCGCTGCCTTTTTTTTTTTTTTTTTTTTTTAGTGTCATGATTACAGGGCAAGTGAACACCTAGTTGAGAGAAATCCTGCCCTGGCAGTATGGGGCTCTTGGGTTTATTGCAGTCACGTGTAGATGTGTTCTATTTAACCACTTCCCATCCAGCCCATGTATATAAATGGCCGGACGGGAGCAGTGCAGGAGCAGGTGTCCGTTTATAAATGTCCTCACGCTTTCCTGCCTGTGCGCACTCCCTGGAAACACTGATCGCTGTACGGGACCTCTGTGAGGTCCCGATCATGTGATCAATGATTGTCCAATCACTGATCACATGAATAGTAGTAAGCAAGATGTCACTTCTGACATCATTGCTTATTACTTCTGTGAAATCTGTGAATGATCACAGAGGTCACATGGTACAAGGCTATTCACAACAGCCTTGTACCATGTGAAAAGCTGTGACCAATCACAGCTCTCACAGTATTTCTCAATAGCTAGAATGCAGCCAGAGAGGAGAAATTATTGCTTTTACAGCCTTTATGGGTGTAAAAGCAATCGGTGTAAAAAAAAAAAATCTTCATCACCCCCCCCCACAAGTAGTACAGTGTAACTACGGTGACACTGTACTGCTAGGGTGACAGTATGTTAAAAAAAAAACACATAAATAATAATACAAAAAAAAAAAAAAAAAAATTTAAAAACATTTTTTTTTTTTTAAATTATAATTTTTGGTTATAAACTAATTGGGTTATTTTTTTTTACTAAAAAGATAGATAAATAAATTTTGGCCAAAATTTATGAAGAAAGATTATTTATTTGCAAAATTTTATAAGAAAAACACTTTTTTTTTTTTTTAAATGTTTGGAATTTTTCATTTATATAGCAAAAAAATACAAATCCCAGTGTTGAATAAATACCACCAAAATAAAGTTTTATCTGTCTCAAAAAACTGCTAAAAAATTCATATGGGTACAGTGTTGCATGACCGCAAAATTGTCATTCAAAGTGTGATAACACTGAAAGCTGAAAATTGGCCTGGATAGGAAGGGGGTGAAAGTGTCCGGGGATTTGAAGTGGTTAAACAAGTGATACAAAGGGAAGGTCAATACAAATAGTGATGACTGCTATAGTCTCTCTTCACTTACTTGGTACTGAGGCGCAGAGGCCCAAAAACAGCTCCCAGGAGGCACATGGGCAGTCCGGTCTGCACAGCTTCAAACCATTTTACCACCACTTCCCCTGAAGCAGAAATCGACAGATTAGACTGTTGTAATCAGAGAGAAACTCTAGACTGAGGGTCAGCAACCAGTAGACCACGGCCAGATGGCTGGTAGATCACGGTCTGGGCTTACTGACCTGCCATTTCAGAGCATCAGCATGCAATGCAGAGGGACTATATGTAAAGTTGGAGCTGTAGTACGGAGCAAGAGTTGTATAAGCCAATGTCTCTGTACCGCTGGCCCCTGTCCCATGACAGACAGAGTGATGCCAACTGCACTCCACCTCTTATCCCAGCAAGTGACCTCCACAGTGGTGCCAGCAGCAGGAAAGATGACATTTTCAGGTCAGCGTGAAGCAACACACTGGGCACAATAGTACAGGGCTGATTTCACACTGGTGTGCTGCGGTTTACCCACACCGCGGGTGCAGTGCAGTGTGCCTACAGCTTTCCTGAGGGTTTGCTGCACTTAGCCATAGAATTCTGTTATATCCTGCGAGTTTGGTGCACTTTTGAAGGCGCACCAAAACTCCTGAATGCAGAGTATAGAACAGAAGTGTATTGCAAAGAGCAGCTAAAGCTTGCAATGCATGGGTCGAATTCCAAAAGAAATTTTGTTCAAAAATCTTTTCTAAGAATTTTTGTTCGAAAGTTTTTCCTAAGAATTTTTGCTCGAAAATCTTTTCTAAGAATTCTTGTTCGAATTTCTCACCGTTATTGGGTCAGAAAAATGGCCGATTTTCAGGTGGCCATCAAAATTTGAGTAATCGGGCATGTTGGAAATTTTTGGAAAAACTGACAAATTTCAAATCAATGATGGGAGAACTGTGTGAGAAATATAATTGAAAAAAGAAATGCACATGAGCTGTGACCTGGAAAGAAAAGAAAATTCTTAGCCACGAAAATTATTTTCAGTAGCAACACGAGGTGAAATTGAAGGCTTGGTTGGTTGAATTTTGAAATCAATGGTGGCAACATCGGGTTACAAAATGCACAAAATTTCTGATTTTCTAAAGAAAACTCGTTTGGAAATCGACCCATTAATGCATTCATGTATGTATCCATGCATAACCCAGGAAAGTCAGGGGACAGGTTAACCGCAGCACATCAGTGTGAAAGCAGCCTTATAGGGGGCTCAGAATAGTAAGGGTTAGTTTGCAGTTTAGGAGCTTGTAAAACCCCATAATTCAGATGTGTTTTTACCAACCCCTTCTTAACCACACCCTCTTTAGCTGCAGTGATGAGGGGTGTACACATGTCGCAGCGAGGGGTGTACACATGTCGCAGCAGGAGTTATACACCCTGTCATGGTCGGTGGGTGTAGCACCCGCCAAGCATGACCCATTCATGTTAATGAGGCCGCGCTGCAAGTGCCCTGAAACCTTGTGCAGTACAGCAAACAAGGGGTTACAGCAGGCAGCCAAATGCAACTAAGCTCATTCCAAGTGCAGCAGGCACAGCTGCTCCTCTGAAAAGCAATCCAAGTAAGTTTGACAGGTGGTGATTGCTGTGCAATGCATGCGATTGCGATATAGTAGTATAGCAATTACAGGTTTTTTAAATCAGGTGTGAGGAGGTACCACTGTGCCAAGTGATCTTTGACTTCTGCCATGTTGTTTAGGTAGCTCTCCACCTTTTTAAGGTTGCCTACCCCTGCTCTAGATCAATTATCCATGAATTTCAGCAGACATAACTACAGGTGCTCATTGGCTTCTATGCTGTAGATATGGAGAGAATCCATGCAAATGCAATGAAGTGGGAAGATCTGGTGACTATAATTACGTGATCAGTCCCAATGTTGGAGAAAAGCTGGCCATATGCTGTTGATTACTCAAGATGGCCATAGATGGATCAAACCTTAACCAGTTTAGCAGGGACTGGCCAAGATTCAATCCATCTATAGGCAGGCTGGTTGTACTGAAGTTGATCCATCAATCGACTTAAGTACAACCGCTTGTTAGATTGTTTGCATGTGATTACTCAGAGTAGCTATAACCACCAGCACCAATCACTGTGTTATGCTGGCATGGAAGGTTCCCTGCTGGCATCATACAATAGTGCTGTGGGAAGGATTCCCCTATTAACAATGATTATGTTGACTGGGGAATCAAGCGTTTTTTGCAGGAAAGAAAATCGCATCATCTATGGCTTGCCTCAATCACTTTTACAAAGAAACCAGGCTGAAAACTGTTGGATAAACAGGGCCTGCAGCCAGCCAATCAGCTGCAGGCACTGCTCAGGTATTCTGACAACTGGCGCTGTCAGAATACAATAGCCTGGTGGGGGGATTCATTTATCCCTGCCATTGGTGTGGATAGTGATATCTGTTAGATTTTCTGAATGAACAAAATCTATGTATGGCCAGCTTTAGAAAACCTCAAATTTCCAGCGAGTTCTCAGTGTTAGATGGACAGTCATGTACATTGTAGTAGAGCCCTGATTGGCTGCAGTTCTGCCTCTCCCTCTTCCTTACCCAATGGTGCTTTATATAACAATGATATCAAGCCAGATTCAGACACATATGCAAGTTCTGTGTAAAAATCATACACTGATATTAATGAATCCATAACTAAAAGAATTTTTTTTAATGTGTCCTGAGATTCAGGTACATATAACTGTCTAGTTGTCATCTCCTACCTAGCATATTGGTTGGCATCCCCAGCAGAGTGTGCATGAGATCATGGACTTCCCGATACCGCTGGGCTACATACGCCAATTCCTCGTCATCTACAAACTTCACTGGCATTCGGGTATCAGGGGTGACATTCTGGGGGCAAGACAAGATTTCTGTATATTTCTATAGAACAGGTAAACAGTCTTGCAGCTGTAATGCAAACATATGTTAAAGTATACAGTTAGGTCCATATATATTTGGACACAGGCACAATTGTTTAGTTTTTTCAGGTATTAACCAAAACATATTCAGGCTATAGTTATATAATGGCTATGGGCTGAAAGTGCACACTCTCAGGTTTAATTTGAGGGTATGTACATCCAAATTGGAGGAAGCATTTAAGAATTACAGCTCTTAAGTGTAGCCATCCCATCCTTTTTCAAAAGGACCAAAAGTAATTGGGCAATTGAATCAAAAGCAGTTTCATGGCCAGGTGTGGGCTACTCCTTCGTTATTTCTTCATCAATTAAGCAAGTAAAAGGTCTGGAGTTGATTCTAAGTGTGGTATTTGCATTTGGAATCTATTGCTGTGAACCTATATCTTGCGTTCAAAGGAGCTGTCCATGCAAGTGGAACAGGCCATTGTAAGGCTTCAAAAACAAAACAAATCCATCAGAGAGATAGCAGCAACATTAGGAGTGGCCAAATCAACAGTTTGGTACATTCTGAGGAAAGAAGAACGCACTGGTGAGCTCAGCGACATAAAAAGTCATGGACGTCCATGGAAGACAAGAGTGGTGGATGATCGTAGGATCCTCTCTATGGTGAAGAAGGGGGTTCACCACAGAGGGTTCACCACAAGGTGCAAACCATTCATAAGCCTGAAGAATAGAAAAGCCAGATCAGACTTTGCCAAAAAAAAATCTAAAAAAGCCAGACCAGTCCTGGAAAAGCATTCTTTGGATGGATGAAACTAAGATTACTCTGTACTAGAATGATGGGAAGAAAAAAGTGTGGCAAAGGCTTGGAACAGCTCATGATTCCAACGCACACAACATCATCTGTAAAACATGGTGGACGCAGTGTGATGGCATGGCCATGCACGGCTTCCATTGGCACTGGGTCATTGGTTTATTGACGATGTGACAGAAGACAGAAGCAGCCGGATGAATTCTGCTGTGTTTAGAGATATACGGTCAGCCCAGATTCACCCAAATGCAGCAAAGTTGATTGGATGGCGCTTCACAGTACAGATGGACAATGATCCAAAACACACTGCAAAAGCTGATGTTGATCAGAGCTGTACTGTGTCCTGTTTCCATTTCCTGTATCTTCCCAATGAGTCTAATTAGCCTTTAACATTCTTATCTTGGACTACAGAATAATATGTGTCTATGTTGTAAAGATGAAGAAGGTGGGAGCATTGAGTAGTTTAGCAAAAAGACAACTGGTAGGGCTGACACCACTCAGTCCACAAAAATGCTGTGTGTTGTTAGCCCACAACATGACTTAGGAGCTGAATGCATTTCTGGCAGATCACCAGGTTATTTTCTGTACGTGTAGGGTCTTGAAAATATATTTAAACCCAAGAATAAAAAAATGAAATAAAAAGTAAATAATAAAAGTACAGAAAAATACCTGTTTAACGTGCCACAAAATCCAGTTTCCTTTTGACTTCCTATGCCATCGTCTGAACTACAAAATATTTATCCCTTACATAATGGAGATAAGTAACAGGGAGGTGTTTATAGTCCAAATTGGGAGAGAAGCTAGGGGTACCAATGCTCCTCCTCTATAGATACATGCGGTGTTCATTAAAACGTATGCAGATGCATTTTTCATCATTTGGCCAGTATGACTATCTAAGGTGTGTTATGGGGTCTACTCAAACCCTGATCATTTCAGAAGCCCAGATAAAGCAGTGCTTTCATTAAAAGCCACCTCTATGCAATTTATTGCTGAATTGGTTTTAAAAAGAATATCCTCAACATTTGCTTCACTAGCTATTGAGTCACTGACCTGATACAAATATAAAGTCTGATCAAGATGATGGGTCCTGAGCTTGGGCCTTTTAAAAACAAGACAGCAACAGCAGTTTCACCATGCTGACAGGTTCCCTTTAACCACTTCCAGACCGGACACTTTTACCCCCTTCCTGTCCAGGCCAATTTTCAGCTTTCAGTGCTATCACACTTTGAATGACAATTGCACGGTCATGCAACACTGTACACAAATGAATTTTTTACCATTTTTTTGAGACAGATAAAGCTTTATTTTGGTGGTATTTATTCACCGCTGGGATTTTTATTTTTTTTGCTATGTAAATGAAAATGTCCAAAAATTTTGAAAAAAGGTGTTTTTTAATAACATTTTGCAAATAAATAATATTTCATCATAAATCTTGGCCAAAATTTATTCCGTTATCTTTTTAGTAAAAAAAAAAATCCAAATTAGTTAATAACCAAAAATTATAATTTTTAAACATTTTTTTTTTTTTTTATTTTATTTATTTAAACTGTCACCCTAGCACTACAGTGTCACCATGGTTACACTGTACTACTTGTGGGGGGTGATGAAGATTTTTTTTTTTTTTTTTTTTTTTTTACACGGATTGCTTTTACACCCATAAAGGCTGTAAAAGCAATCATTTCTCTTTCTCTCTGTGTGCATTCTTGCACTCATTGAGAAGTACTGAGTGAGCTGTGATTGGTCACAGCTTGTCACATGGTACAAGGCTGCTGTGAATAGCCTTGTACCATGTGACCTCTGTGATCATTCACAGATTTCACACATAGTAAGCAATGATGTCACAAGTGACATCTTGCTTACTACTTTTCATGTGATCACTGATTGGCCAATCAGTGATCACATGATCGGGAACCTCGTACAGAGGTCCCGTCCGACGATCGGTGTTTCACTGTGTCCGGAGGACACAGCGGGCACCGGATCGCGGTGCTGCGCGCTCCCAGGGAGCGCACACAAGCAGGGTGCGGGGAGGCCGTTTATAAACGGCCACCCGACCCTGCAGTGCCACCGTCCGGCCGTTTATATGCAACGGCCGGTCGGGAAGTGGTTAAAAGGAAAAGTGCATTTTCAGTGAGCCCATAATCTGAGCTAATATGTTAGTATTTCTAATACATGTTGATATGATGTCCTCCTTTTTATATCCTTTTGCTTGCTAGTTTTGTTCCTGGAATAAGCATAGAAAACGTTTAGATTAGCCACAAGGTGGAGCTCTCAGGGACTCAGTGCTATAAATCCGCTTCCTGCTTAAAGGATAAGTTCACCTTTGGGAACATGTTACATGTTCCACCTGTTTTTAGGGTGGAACATGTAACATGTTCCCATAGCCGCAGTCACGCCTGCCGCCCCCCTCCCTGTGACAGATAGTACGGAGAAACTTCCCCCCCGTACTATCTGTCAAATTTGAAAACAGCACGCATAATCATCAATGGATAAAAAGCACTTACAAAGATGGCTACCGGATCCACCTAGATGGATCCCTTTGAGAACGTGTGTGCGCACGAAACGCGCCAGAGAGGAGCCTACATGCTGACGTCATGTAGGCCGCGTCCACGTGATGGTCCAGCAGCCATCTTTGTAAGTGATTTTTATCTATTGATGATTTTATGCTTCATGTGGTTGCTATTTTTTTAATAAAACATACTACACTATATGGATACTGTCTCCGGGCTCGGTCTATGAGCTTGCCCTCTAGGAGGAATTCCTTTCCTTGGTTCACCGTGGGCTAGAGATGGAGACTTGGCTACTCTACTTTTGATTGTTCATTTGGTGTATCACTGGCTTCTGGAGAGATCCCACCTTCAACCGGGTCACCGGCAGGAGGAACAAGCAGGAACACCCTTTAGTGTCATTCCGCTCTGGGCTTGCTTGCTACTTACTTCTGGTGAGTGCAGTATGGTGGAGGTGCAGTGCGGAAGTCACAGAAGTCACTACATTTTGTTGATTTGATCACATCACTATTTGTGGGACTATTATGATATTTAGAGGACTTATTTATTTTCATTTGTTATTTGCTATATCGTCCATTTTGTTTCTTCATTGGAGTATTCACTATTCTTGATTCTTTTTTATGTTTCCTTTCTCTTTTACTATCACATTGGTCATCACTGATTATAACACACATTTTTATTAGAGCTGCACATTAATATTATAGTGTTTTGCTTTGGTGGAGACAGAGGGTTTGCCACGTTGTGCTAGCTGCTTTACTTTTTCCTTTTTTGTGGTGCGCTCACCATTTATTCTTTGATTATACATTTAGACAAAAATAATAAATGCACATTTTTTTACCTGCAAAAAAATGTGCATTTATTATTTATGTTAAAAAGGTGACTTATCCTTTAACAGCTATTGAGATATAATATCAGCATAGAGAAATGTTTTCACTGAGTGCAGTAGTAGTAGAAGAGAAATCATTGTGCGGCACTGTAAAGCAGTGAGTGTGTAATGAGCAAAGATGTCTGCCTCCATGTAATCAAAATCTATACAAAGAAATGGGGTATTTAAAACATTACCATCCCCCGATAAGATTTTTTAAATTTTTTTTACAAAATGCTGATTCCTTTTGCATATACTGTATATCTGTATATGTGAAATAATATATTCCCTTCAAATAAACAAGGAATCAGGTTATTAAACTTACATTGACATCTAAGAATCGGGCGTACTCTCTGCCAAACACCCCATCTGGCATCTCCCGAAACCTCTCAATATCCAAACTGGACATCCGAATACGTGGTCTTTCTCTGAAGTGACAGATGAGATTTACATAGGATGGACAGTGGCTTTCCCAATACTCACATTTGCACGCTCTAGATTCCCCCACCTTGTTTCTGCCCTTCTAACAGTCCCATATCCGTATATATTACAGCGTCCGCCCCGGCCTGCATCAAGTCTGTGTCCACAGCATTCTGCTAGGTTGTACTACTATTAAAGTGTTTTAAATCTGACAGCAGTGCAGGCTATGGGCATGATACAGTTACAGAACAGCAGCAAAAACATCAAAAAAATCTTTTCAACATACAGTGGGGATCGAAAGTTTGGGCACCCCAGCTAAAAATTTGTATTAATGTGCATAAAGAAGCCAAGGAAAGATGGAAAAATCTCCAAAAGGCATCAAATTACAGATTAGACATTCTTATATGTCAACAAAAGTTAGATTTTATTTCCATCATTTACACTTTCAAAATAACAGAAAACAAAAAAAAATGGCGTCTGCAAAAGTTTGGGCACCCTGCAGAGTTAATATCTTGTACTGCCCCCTTTGGCAAGTATCACAGCTTGTAAACGCTTTTTGTAGCCAGCCAAGAGTCTTTCAATTCTTGTTTGAGGTATCTTTGCCCATTCTTCCTTACAAACGTCTTCCAGTTCTTTGAGATTTCTGGGCTGTCTGTCACGCACTGCTCTTTTAAGGTCTATCCATAGATTTTCAATTATGTTGAGGTCAGGAGATTGTGAAGGCCATGGCAAAACCTTCAGTTTACGCTCTTGATGTAATCCCCCCTGGATTTTTAGGTGTGTTTAGGATCATTATCCATTTGTAGAAGCCATCCTCTCTTTAACTTCAGCTTTTTCACAGATGGCATCAAGTTACCATCCAAAATTTGCTGAAATTTTATTGAATCCATTTTTCCTTCTACTCGTGAGATGTTCCCTGTGCCACTGGCTGCAACACAACCCCAAAGCATGATTGATCCAACCCCATGCTTAACAGTTGAACAGAGGTTCTTTTCATTAAATTCTGTGCCCCTTCTTCTCCAAACGTACCTTTGCTCATTCCCGCCAAAAAGTTCAATTTTAACCTCATCGGTCCACAGAACTTGTTTCCAAAATGCATCAGGCTTGTCTATATGTTCATTTGCAAAGTTCAAACGATGATTTTTGTGGTGAGGACATAGAAGAGGTTTTCTTCTGATGACTCTTCCATGAAGGCCATATTTGTACAAGTATCTCTTTATAGTGGAATAGTGTACCACAACTCCAGTGTCTGCCAGATCTTTCTGGAGGGATCTTGCAGTCAAATGTGGGTTTTGAATTGTTTTTCTCACAATCCTGCGAGCTGTTCTGTCTGATATTTTTCTTGATCTTCCAGATCTTGCTTTAACTTCCACTGTTCCTGATGACTGCCATTTCTTAATTACATTCCGAACAGAGGATACTGACATCTGAAAACGCTTTGCTATCTTCTTATAGCCTTCTCCAGCTTTGTGAGCGTCAACTATTTTCAGTTTCAGTTTTCTAGACAACTGCTTAGAAGAACCCATGGTGCTGATTGTTGGGGCAAGGTCAGATGAGTCTGGGCATTTAAAACCTTTGAGATTGACATCACCTGGTCTTCCCAGACGATGATTGAGAACAATCCATGACACTTGCAGGTCTCAGCTTTGCAAAGGGGGCAGTGCATGCTATAAATTCTGCAGGGTAGGGTGCCCAAACTTTTGCAGCCCAAACTTTTGCAGACGCCATTTTTTTGTTTTCTGTTATTTTGAAAGTGTAAATGATGGAAATAAAATGTAACTTTTGTTGACATATTATAGGAATGTCTAATCTGTAATTTGATGCCTTTTGGAGATTTTTCCATCTTTCCTTGGCTTCTTTATGCACATTAATACACATTTTTAGCTGGGGTGCCCAAACTTTCGATCCCCACTGTATATATAAACACAGAAACAAGTATGCTCAATTCATATGAGCAGATATGTTTATACTAAAATAAAGCTACAATAAAGCTAAACTGCAAGCAAATAGCTCAACACAGATTAAAGTGTTACTAAACCCACAGCAGTAAAATCAGTCTGTATATGCAGCAAAGCATGCTTGTTAAACTCACTGTGTAACCTAGGGGGTTAATCCTCTGCATTGTGTAAAAAGGCTGTTTGATTCTTTCTTCTCTGTTCCTCCCCTTTTTCAAGTGACCACCACTTATCTCCAGACTGAATCTATGGGGGTGAGTTAATTTACTATGCAGGTATGCACATGCTCAACTTAGTGTGTATTGCTAGAGAGGTTTTTTTGTTTTTCTTGGGAGAGGGCATGTGATCAGCACAGGGCCAATCAGCAATGTCCAGACAGAGGTCAGAGGATTTGTGTACTCCTAGAAGAGAAAGAAAACTCCTCCTACAAGCTTTAGCTAGTGCTGGACTGGACACTGATAGAAGTCACAAGACTGCTCTAACTTCTGATGAGAAAATGTATTTAGCAGTTTATATTTACTAAAATAATTGCATTTCCATGTTTTGTGTACCGTGGGAGACCAGATATAGTGAATGCAGGGTCCGGGATTTAGTAACACTTTAAATACATATGTGAGAGCCGTTTTATCAATTTGTATTTCTGTACATACAGTCCTGGGATTTACACAGCTGTACCCCACAGCTCAATCCTGTCTAACCCTAGGTTCACATCTGTGCGGGTGGTGCCGCTGTGGATCCGCACGAAAATCCATGCAGCCACACCACCCGCACAGAGAAATGCGGACCCGCGGGCAGGTGCCATTAGTTCTAATGGCACACCGCCCGCACTGGAAAAGGCAACCGTACTGGGAACCGAGGTTCCCGTGTGGGCTGCGTTTTCCAAAGAAGTGCAGGGACTTCTTCCCTGACGATGCGCTTCAAATGAATCGCTCTCGTGCCCGTGCAAAATGCGGCCCGCATGGCCGCATATATGTGGACTGGGAGCAATGGGGAAGGGACCTGATTTTTCTCCACTGGAGGTCCCCTCCCCAATACCACCCTGTGACTGGATGGTGAAAGGAGAAGCAGCACACTAATGAGCTGATTTCACCATCACTCTGCTCTCTCCTCCTTTCAGTATGCTTCTTGCACAGCAACACACTGGACTACCTCCTTGTGCTGCTTTACCTCTCCCTCTCTGGGCTCGCTGTACAGACTGTACAGTAGTCTGCAAGAGGCTCATAGCAAGACAAGTGGAGGTAGTTACACTTCTTGCATTAAAAAAAACCCATGTAATAATGATGTAATAATAAATACAGAGCTGTATTATTTTTGTCTTTTATATATACAGTATATGCCTGGAGTTCAGTTGTAAAGGCTAGTTTGCACTAGTGTTAGCCCTCTGAAGAGCATTTCGTGGTGGATCCCTTTTCAAAGGGTGTTTGACAAGCTATAAGTGATGTTATGGGCCCTTTCACACAGGCAATCTGATCAGGTTCACCTATCAGTTTTTCAGATGGACTTGATCAGAAAGTCTATGCATTACTATGGACCAGCAGGTGTAAACGCATCCGTTCACACCTGCCTACCACCAGGTCCGATCAGGCCTGCTAAACAAAATGGATTTTCTGTTTGGGGGGGAACGGATGGGACACAGCTGGGTGTAAACAGGCACCGGAGTCTGTTTTCTCCCGGCTGCCCACAGAGCGGGGTCTGTCAGTGCACACTCTCCTAAAACCGGTCATCCGTTCTGCTCTGATCAGCAGAGGATCAACTCACAGATCCCCTGCTGATCAGAACGGAAGGCACCAGTGTGGGAGGAACATTAGTCTCCTCCTCATTTCCTGTTTTAACTATTAAAAGCCCTACCACCATGCAGTAACGGCCTGCAGCCCCACACACTTCAATAGGTCAAGTTCAGCGGGTAGAACTGCAGTGTAACAGGGTATTTAATTCTTGCCCTGACCATTAAGCAAAACACCACAGCTGCAGCGAGTATATGAGGGCAGCACAGTGGCTAAATGGTTTGCACTTCTGCCTGGCAGTACTAGGGTCGTTAGGTTCGAATCCCAACCACGGCACCACCTGCCTGGAGTTTGCATGTTCTCCCTGTGCTTGCGTGGGTTTCCTCCGGGTACTCCAGTTTCTTCCGTGCAGAAGAAGATGAAACAGTATTCCAAGGTCAACTTTTAATAAAAGCGGTTAAAACCACTTACAATGTGGTAGTATAAACAGGCTCTAATGTAATCTGTCAATAGCAGGGCTCTGTCCTCTAAGCGATGTAGCCGCTGTGTCAGCCAGAAGCTGCAGGGGGAGCTTGAGAGGAGGTGTTAAAGATGGCCGCAGCTCTATGCGGACCGCCGAAACGCACGCTGTCCACGGACCAAAAGTGATGTGAGCATGGAGCGGTGACGCATTTCGGAGCATGCGCAGATCTTCTTCTTGAAGACCGATCTTGAAAAAGGAGCTCTGTGCATGCTCCAAAACGTGTCACCGCTCCATGCTCACGTCAATTCCGCTCCATAGACAGCATGCGTTGTTTAGTATGGGGAATGTCATGTTTCTGATTGGTCCTTTTGCTGGTAAAAATGTTTAGCCATACAAAGTAAATTGCAAATACAGTCAGGTCCATAAATATTGGGACATCGACACAATTCTAACATTTTTGGCTCTATACACCACCACAATGGATTTGAAATGAAACGAACAAGATGTGCTTTAACTGCAGACTGTCAGCTTTAATTTGAGGGTATTTACATCCAAATCAGGTGAACGGTTGTAGGAATTACAACAGTTTGCATATGTGCCTCCCACTTATTGAGGGACCAAAAGTAATGGGACAATTGGCTTCTCAGCTGTTCCATGGCCTGGTGTGTGTTATTTCCTCATTATCCCAATTACAATGAGCAGATAAAAGGTCCAGAGTTCATTTCAAGTGTGCTATTTGCATTTGGAATCTGTTGCTGTCAACTCTCAAGATGAGATCCAAAGAGCTGTCACTATCAGTGAAGCAAGCCATCATTAGGCTGAAAAAACAAAACAAACCCATCAGAGAGATAGCAAAAACATTAGGCGTGGCCAAAAACAACTGTTTGGAACATTCTTCAAAAGAAGGAACGCACCGGTGAGCTCAGCAACACCAAAAGACCCGGAAGACCACGGAAAACAACTGTGGTGGATGAGCGAAGAATTCTTTCCCTGGTGAAGAAAACACCCTTCACAACAGTTGGCCAGATCAAGAACACTCTCCAGGAGGTAGGTGTATGTGTGTCAAAGTCAATAATCAAGAGAAGACTTCACCAGAGTGAATACATAAGGTTCACCACAAGATGTAAACCATTGGTGAGCCTCAAAAACAGGAAGGCCAGATTAGAGTTTGCCAAACGACATCTAAAAAAGCCTTCACAGTTCTGGAACAACATCCTATGGACAGATGAGACCAAGATCAACTTGTACCAGAGTGATGGGAAGAGAAGAGTATGGAGAAGGAAAGGAACTGCTCATGATCCTAAGCATACCACCTCATCAGTGAAGCATGGTGGTGGTAGTGTCATGGCGTGGGCATGTATGGCTGCCAATGGAACTGGTTCTCTTGTATTTATTGATTGATGTGACTGCTGACAAAAGCAGCAGGATGAATTCTGAAGTGTTTCGGGAATATTATCTGCTCATATTCAGCCAAATGCTTCACAACTCATTGGACGCCGCTTCACAGTGCAGATGGACAATGACCCAAAGCATACTGCAAAAGCAACCAAAGAGTTTTTTAAGGGAAAGAAGTGGAATGTTATGCAATGGCCAAGTCAATCACCTGACCTGAATCCGATTGAGCATGCATTTCACTTGATGAAGACAAAACTGAAGGGAAAATGCCCCAAGAAACAAGCAGGAACTGAAGACAGTTGCAGTAGAGGCCTGGCAGAGCATCACCAGGGATGAAACCCAGCGTCTGTTGATGTCTATGCGTTCCAGACTTCAGGCTGTAATTGACTGCAAAGGATTTGCAACCAAGTATTAAAAAGTGAAAGTTTGATTTATGATTATTATTCTGTCCCATTACTTTTGGTTCCTTAATAAGTGGGAGGCACATATGCAAACTGTTGTAATTCCTACACCGTTCACCTGATTTGGATGTAAATACCCTCAAATTAAAGCTGACACTCTGCAGTTAAAGCACATCGTGTTTGTTTCATTTCAAATCCATCGTGGTGGTGTATAGAGCAAAAAATGTTAGAATTGTGTCGATGTCCCAATATTTATGGACCTGACTGTAAATCAACTGAATAGTACTTCATACAGCAATGGTCTATGGAACAGAAACTCACTGTAGAATCTGCATTCCCTCCGGGTCACTGCTCATTTTCTCTCTGAGGCTTCGCAAGGCCTGGATACCAGTGGTTTCCCCGAGAACAGCAATCATATCTGTGGAATTGAGACAGAAATCTTGGTCTGGGCCCATCTGTATAGCTTCTATTTTTGTTATTCTCTATTCTTCTCTTAAAGCAGAACTTAACCGTATTTGAGCACCACAAACTGAATATGCTATTTAGTTAATTTTTAATATTCAAAGCAAACTCCCCCATCCATCCATGTCTCCATGCTTTATTTTGTGGAGAAATCACTTTCAAACCAACCCCCCCTAGCATTTCTAGCTGGAGCCATCTTGAGTAAGGGCAGAACATTCATGTGGCATTTACTTCCTGGAAATCACCTGCCCTTAACTCAAACATGCAGGCAGGTTTGTGTGCTTAGTTGAGAAAGCCCCTCCTCCAGATGAAAGAAAAAAAATGCCCATGAAGACTTCTGGGTTGTGTGACATTATTTTAGCCAAGGCCAGACACCAGGAAGAAAACTGAAGAAATGCAAAACAAAAAAAGGTTTAAAACAAGAGATATATTATATTTTCCTCTCTATTTCTTAAGACTAGTAGCATAGGGATTAAAAATAGTTCATGCTGATTAAGTCTAGATTCACACCTGTGTGGGCGATTGCCGCTGCGGGACCGCATCTGTTCCGGCAGCCCCAAACACCTGCACACAAAAACTAATGAATGGGCTGCCGTGCCTGCGCAAAACACCGCAACAGTATGAACCAAGCTTAAAGCGGAGATCCACTCAAAAGTGAAAGCTCCGTTTGTTTGCCTCCTCCCCCCTCTACTGCCATATTTGGTACCTTTTGAGGGGGGAGCGGATACCTGTTTTTGACAGGTACCCGCTCCCACTTCCGGCTCAGTTTGCCGCGGCGAAGTGAGCCGGAAGTTTGGACCCCTCCTTCCTTCTGCAGTCTCCTGGGAACCTTCACAGGTCCCAGAAGACTGCTAGACCAATTAGGAGGCACAGTGCGATTCACGCATGCGCAGGGGGCACCCGGCTGTAAAGCCGCAAGCAGTCACAGCCTGGTGTCCACAGTTGTGATGCCGGCGCCAGGGAGAGTAGAGAAGGGACGGCACAGGTGAGCACATTGCTGGACCCTGAGACAGGTGAGTGTATGTTTATTAAAAGTCAGCAGCTACAGTTTTTGTAGCTGCTGACTTTTAATAAAACACAAAACTGACTGGAACTCCGCTTTAAGACTGGGTTCACACATATGTCATGTGATTGCAATGCGGTGCGGGAAAGGCACAGGATTTGCAGTGTTTGCCGCACCGCATTCCAATCACATGACATTCATGCAATCTGGTGCGGGTGTCAATGTTAAATTATTGACACCCCCGAAACAGGTTGCAAAACACCATGCAATTGCCAAAAATCGTATCACATGGGTGAGAAAATCCATGCAATGCGATTTACGTGCGGGTAAGAAAAAAAAAAAAGGGTCCTGCACCCTTTTGGTGTGGAAGCGATGCAATTTGAGGCATACAAAATATATGGCCTAAATCACACAGCAGAGACATTGCATGTAATTCGCACAGGAATGCAGTGCGATTCCTGTGCGAATTACATGCGGTGTCCCGCACCGCATTAGTGTGAACCTGGTCTAAAAGAGTTAAGTTCTGTTTCAAAATAGCTTCACCTTAATGGAGACTAACGTGGCCATACAACAAACTACAGATTTCTTTTTCAATTGATATCTCCCAATAAGAATAACTGACCTATACGCAACTACCCATTAGATCGGCGTTTGACACATGGGAAAGTGGATTTTGATCGGCAGTTGGAAAATACGTTCCTTAGTTGTCATCAGAAAAGAGACGAAAAGGGGTTTCCTGATCAGTAGCCAACATCCCCAGAATTACAAGATAAATAAAAGGAAAAGACCCCCTATAGGACTTGGGACTTTGAAGGCATAAATATATACCGAAAACAGTTTTATGAAAAGTACAAGCTTTTTATTGTGTCAAAAAATTATTTTAACATGTAGACATACCAAACAATGCATCATCCAAAGTCATAGTACAGCATCACCATCAAAGTACTTTATGACTTTGGATGATGTATTGTATGGTATGTCTACATGTTAAAATAATTTTTTGACACAATAAAAAGCTTGTACTTATCTTAGTTGTCATCAGTGTCTTGGTTTTCACGATTCAATCACATAAGCTAATCGATCGCAATATGATCAAATTCATTAACATTGCATCTCAGTGCTGCTGATCAATGCAAAAGGACATTTTCCTCCCTTGCTAATCCACTCATTTTCATTGAAGCAGTCAGACAATAACAGGAAGGCCAGCATTAAACTGGGCTAAGATCTACCAAACACAGCTCATGCCTACATGTCGGTCTATGGCCAGTGTTACCATTCTTTGTTGCCAGTCTTTGTATGCTGGCGGGAAAATTCTGCTTTGAATAGCTCACCATAGGCCAGGCCGAGGCTTAAGCAATAGAGCCACTCAACATGGAAGCCATGCTGTCAGGGGAGCAGCTAGGATGGGAAATTCCTCCCTCTGCATCACCCAGCAATTTCCTGCACTGTTCAGGTCTGAGCTGTCAAACTGATAACATAGTCCTGCAGATTACACTGGGAGATTGTGGCACTCCCTGTGTAACCAGGGGCATTTGGCAGGCTGCTCACTCTGTATCAGGAGCTCTGTGTGCCCCTAATACACAGAGCATAGCTACTGGCTGTCATGGATTACAGATGATCACACAGGGAGAGCTATATACTCCCAGTATAACCTGCAGGACAGAGCCATCAGTTTGACAACTTATACCCTGCTCTGCATTCATGAAGTACTGTTATGTTTACATTAAAGCAGAACTTCACCCAAGAGGGAAAGTTCTGCTTTTCCACCCCCTCCCCCCCTCTCACTTTTGGACCCTTTTTTTTTGGGGGGGGGGGGGTGGATGCAGGTACCTAGTTTGATCCCACTTCCACTCAGATCACCAGTTCGGCTTCAACTCACAAGTGCAGTTTGGCTTGTGCATGCACAGTGGGAAGCCACAGTTTGGAGTTACAGCTGGCTTCCAAAGTATACATGCCAGCGCTGGAGACCCAAAGACCAGCAAAGAACTGGCCTGGGTGAGGACAGCGCTGGATCACTGGACAAGTAAGTGTCCTTTTATTAAAAGTCAGCAGCTAAAGGATTTCTAGCTGCTGACTTTTTAAAAAAAAAAAAAAAAAAAAAAAAAAAAAAAAAAAGGGATCTTCAGTCCCCCTACAAAAACATTAAAAGTAAACTAAATTTTAGTCCCTTAACAAATTTTTTGATTTTTATTTATTTATTTTAATAGTTGGTATGTAAACCTTTTAAATTTGTGTTTGTAGTGCCAAATAAAAAGAAAATTACTTTGTAGGATTAACTTGATTCTGGTCCCTTAAAGTGTTACTAAACCCACAACAGTAAAATCAGTGTACATGCAGTAAAGCATGCTTCTTATACTCACTGGGGAACCTAAGGGGTTGATCCTCTGCATTGTGTGAAAATGCTGTTTGATCCTGACTTCTCTGATCCTCCCCTTCATCCAGTGTCCCCCTCTTATCTCCTGATAAGACATATCATGTGGAGACAACACTGCACATGCTCAGTTTGGTGTGTATTGCTAGAGAGGTTTTTCTTCTTTTCTTGGGAGAGTGCATGTGATCAGCACAGGGCCAATCAGCACTGTCCAGACAGAGGTCAGGGGTTCTGCATCCTCCTAGAGCAGAAAGAAAACTCTTGCTACAAGCTTTATCCAGTGCTCTGCTGAACACTGATAGAAGTCACAAGACTGCTCTAACTGCTGATGAGAAAAGGTATTTAGCAATTTATATTTGCTAAATTAATTGTATTCCCATGTTCTGTGTACTGTGGAAGACTAGATATAGTGAATGCAGGGTTCGGGGTTTAGTAACACTTTAAGTACTCAGTCACATTGGTGCTACTTGTCATGCAATTTGATTTTGAGTTTCAAATAGCATGACAAGTCGCACCCTATTGTCCGTAATGGAAGCGGTCATATTTTGAAAGTATTCATGCCCTACTTTTTGCAAGTTCAGGTCAGACTTGAATAGACTTCTGTGCATGAAGTCGCACAGATGTCTTCCAAGTCGCACTGAGATCCGATTTTAAAATTGTGTGATTTCAAAGTCAGATTTGGTGTAACCGCAGACTTATAAAAAGGGACAAATCACAGAATAAAATGTGTCAATAAAATATGACTTCAGTTCAGTAGAGTGGCACCTAATGCGGCATCTTTACCTACATTTTAAACATGCATCATAATGCATAGCAATGTAGAGGTGTGAATGGTTCCTTAGCAGCCTCTCTGCAATGGCTCACTCCTTACCTACTAAAGGCACTTACCGTGTCTGTATGGATCATACAATGACATCACCGCAGAGCCAGCTGACAGCAACAGTTTTTGCAGCATGTTGGTGGGAATGTGATTAGGATACAATATACCAGACTCAGGTCCATCAGTCCTGAATTTCCCATCACCCTCCTGCTCCTCTGTGACTATGTTAAATGATTGGCTAAATTGCTTTGGGAATCCTGTACAGAAAAAAAGTTCACATTATACACACAAAGAGTCATTTCTAAGTCAACGATCACACCTCTGGGATTTAAAAGCCTTGTTGGTGTGCCTGCGCACACTGTCAATACTCGCCGTGTCTGAATGCGGATGCGCGGTGACGTCACTGCCCCTCCCCTACGCGTTACGCTACAGGGACTCGTAGTTTCCTCTGGGGGATGTAGTCCCGCATTCAGACACGGCGAGTATTGACAGTGTGCGCAGGCACACCAACAAGGCTGGTCTCACCGCTACCCCGCGGTTATATATATGAAAAGCGCATTTCATTTTAATTTCATATGAGTGTATTACTAGCGCACATTAAAGTCTTTTACCCCCGGATAAGACACTATGTACCTCTTTTTATTTCCCTTATGATCCATGGGAGGAGAACTGGATTAAGGAGAGTGCTGGGGAAGGAGAGACCTCGTTTACCACAGTGATTCACAGTGCAGCTTCTATTGTTAACCATTGCAGCTATACAGTATATGCCATTACAAAGGCGAGTACACTGCATTCATTCTTCTGCTGAACTTATAAGGAATTTGATATCATCTCAGTGCATATGGGACTATTCATCCTCAATTTAAAGTTATAGTTTGTTTTTCTATTTGTAATCACTATTATTATTTTTTATTATTTTTATTTACAATTATTTTGTTTTTTAATTTATTCTTTCTTTTATTGGCACAAGGTGCATGAATGTTTATTCACGGTGATAATTAAGAGAGATTAACACACATTGGTCTAAATAATAATTCTTTTAATTTTAAAACAATAAATAGAGCGCGGCACCCAACATTTTTATTGCTACTTTAGAAATTGCACTGCAGCAAATTGCAAATGTTAACACACTGACATTTATATTCATTAGATGCAATTTCAGGTGCGATTTCAATTCCTAAATCGCACCACTATGACTGGGCACTAAAGGCCAACTCCTCTTCATTCCCTCCCCCCTCCAAGTCTCTGTCCCTCATCCACCTACCAAACACTGCTTTTAAAAAAAGAATCCAACTATACATACCTTCTTTCCTTCAGTTTTCTGGCCAATCCAGTGACCTTATGGGCCCTTGCTAAGCAGTTGTAGGGATAATCCCCCCCCCCCCCTGGACAATGTGGTCCTCATATGATGACCTTCAGCACTGTGCTGTCCAGGAGTACCATGAGCTCTGGCTGGCGGGATGACACAGGAACAGGGTTGAGGGTCCATTGACACCAGGTGCGGTGGGACTACATTGGGTAACTATTGTGCGCCCCCCCACCACAAGGCAACACAAAATACCTTGTCTCCTACCCATATGGAAAAAAATATATTTGAAATGCTACAATTTTGGTCATATTCTATCTATCGATCTATCTATCTATATATAGCGCATGTTGAAATGCATTTTTATTACAAAATATATGAAAAATATTTTTAAAAAACACATTTCAAAATTTCAAATATACTGTATGTCTTTAAAAATACAAATCTACATTTTTGGAATGCATTTACAAATATATGTAAACATATATGTTAAAATTACTTTTTCATATGTTAAAAAAAATCTGAAGAATATATTTTTAAAAATACATATATTTTTAAATATATTCTTCAGATTTTTTTTAACATATAAAAAAGTCATTCCAAAAATGTAGATTTGCGTTTTTAAAGACATACAGTATATTTGAAATGTATTTTTAAACATATTTTGTCATATATTTTGTAATAAAAATGCATTTCAATATGCAGTGTATATGTGTATATATATATATATATATATATATATATATATATATATATATATATATATATAAAAAAATATAAAAAATATATTTTGAATATGGCCAAAATTGTAGCATTTCAAATATATGGCAATATATTTGGGAAGAATATTTTTAAAATATGTTTAAAATATATTTTTCTTCCATGTGGGTATGGCCGGTTCACACCACTAAGTTGTGGTGGTGTGCATTGAAAAAAGTATGGCTGGCCATTGTATCTCTTATGCAAGCCATACATGGTTCGAAGACTGAATGATTTTTCGTCCAAAAATCGAAAACGCCATTCGCTCGGTAATCCAATGTTCCCATCAATGATTTCGAAAATTGGACGACCAAGTCAAAAAGTTCACCTCATATAACAGGTGAAATTTCTGTTTCTTCCAAGTCACGGCTCATGCGCATATTCTTTTCGGAAAAATGATCTTACGATTTGAACATCATTGAGTCAAAAATCGGTCGATTTTCACGAATTTTCAAACATGCCGATCACCGAAAAGGGAAGGAACCACGAAAATCAGCCGGTGCCATTGACCCATTAACAGAGCAAAAATCGCCCAATTATTCTTAGGTCCGATTTGCAGACGAAAAATCAGTGGGGTGCCCTGCACTGAATCACATATCTCATACATAATCCAGCTCTTCCGGGTAGGGGGCAGGCGCACGCACTCATCGCCCCTGCTGTGTGATTTGTTACACAAGCAGATCAGCAGATCCCGGGTTAATGATTTATGGGTGGGACCTGCCAACTGGCGGAGCGGATGGCAGCAGAGAGCTCTGTGACTGTAAACAACACAGATCTCTGTCCAGACAGTGGCGATGTGCTGGTTTTTCTTTCCCTGCAAAGCAGCGAATAAAAACCAGCACATCCCTTAGTGAAAAGAGCGCACAGTACACACATTTAGGGCTGGTTCACACTATAAACACACTATAGAAATGCAGTCTGGATGCGTTTCTGCATTTGCTGGGTTTTTTTATGCATTCCAATGCATTTTTGATGCATTCCAGATGCTTTTTTTTCCCTCTCCTTCTTTAAGGTCATTTGAGGTCCCACATTCCAGCACAGTTCTGTACAGGAAAAAGGCAGCATGTTCTACTTTTTTTTTTTCTGGAACCGGAACGCACTGGAACTGCAAACACTGGTGTGAACCATGCCATTGACAACCATGTAACCTCCTTTCTGTACGTTTTGGATGCAGAAAAAAGTGCACTGAAACGCATGTAGTGTGAATCACACTTGTTAGGCATGCAGTTAACTCTTTGATTGCCCCTAGATGTTAACCCCTTCCTACCCAGTGTCATTAATACAGTGTCAGTGTATATTATTATCATCAGTGATCACTATATTAGTGTCACTGGTGATGTCAGTGTCATTTAGTCAGTTCACACACGTCAGTGTCAGATTACATAGTTAGTATGGCTGAAAAAAGCCGAAAGTCCATCCAGTTAAAAAAAAAAAAAAAAGTAATAATCCTATACCCACAGTTGATCCAGAGGAAGGCAAACAACCCAGCAAAGCATGATCCAATTTGCTCCTGCAGGGGAAAACAATTCCTTCCTGATCCCCCGAGAGACAATCGGATATTCCCTGGATCAACTTTACCTATAAATGTTATTGCCCGCCGCATTATCACAGTCCCGCTATAGGTTGCTGATCACCACCACTGCTAGTATAAAAAAAATGAATAAAATAAAATACCTGTATATATACACCATAGTTTGTAGACGTTATAACTTCAACCAATTGATAAACATTTATCAAACTGTTAGAAAATATATACACTTGTCAGGATTTTTTTTTTTTCACTAAAGACATGTAGCAGAATACATTTTGGCTTAGATTTATGAAGACATTTGATTTTTTAAAATTGGTATGTTTTATAGCAGAGAGTAAAAAAGATTTTTTTTTAAATTGTTGGTCTTTTTGCATATTTATAAAAAAATGGGAAAAACATTGGTGATCAAATACTATTAAAAGAAAGCTCTATTTGTGTGAAAAAAAAAATTATATAAATTTCCTTTGGATACAGTGTTGCATGACCGTACAATTTTCAGTTAACCACTTCCCATCTGGCCCATGTACATAAACGGCTGGACGGGAGCAGTGCAGAGCGGGTGGCCGTTTATAAATGGCCTCCGCATTCCCTGCCTGTGCACACTCTCTCGTGGCACCGCGATCTGGTGCCAGCTGTGTCCGGAGGACACAGCGGAACACCAATCGCTGTACGGGACCTCTGTGTGAGATCCCGATCATGTGATCACTGATTGGCCAATCAGTGATCATATGAATAGTAGTAAGCAAGATGTCGCTTCCTGACATCATTGCTTACTACGTGTGAAATGTGTGAATGATCACAGAGATCACATGGTACAAGGCTATTCACAAAAGCCTTGTACCATGTGACAAGCTGTGACCAACACAGCTCACACAGTATTTCTCAATGGCTGCAAGAATGCAGCCAGAGAGGAGAAATGATTGCTTTTACAGCCTTTATGGGTGTAAAAGCAATCACTATAAAAAAAAAACATCATCACCCCCCACAAGTAGTACAGTGTCACTATGCTAGGGTGACAGTGTGTTAAAAAAAACAAAAACATAAATAATAATAATAAAAATATGTTAAAACAAAATTTTGAAAAATTATAATTTTTGGTTATAAACTAATTTGGGTTATTTTTTTTTTTTTTTTACTAAAAAGATAACTGAATACATTTTGGCCAAGATTTATGAAGAAAGATTATTTATTTGCAAAATTTTATAAGAAAAACGCTTTCTTTTCAAAATGTTTGGACTTTTTTTTATATAGCAAAAAAATAAAAATCACAGTGGTGAATAAACATCACCAAAATAAAGTTTTATCTGTCTCAAAAAAAATGCTAAAAAATGCATATGGGTACAGTGTTGCATGACCGCGCAATTGTCATTCAAAGTGTGATAGCGCTGAAAGCTGAAAATTGGCCTTGACAGGAAGGGGGTGAAAGTGTCCGGACTTGAAGTGGTTAAAGGAGTGCAGTGCTGAACAGCAAAAAATGGCCTGATCACAAAGAGGCGGGGGGGGGGAGGGGTAAAACCTTGTTGAGGTCAAGTGGTTAAAGTGTATTTAAAACACAACCCTGTTCTAGTGACACCACCTTAACATGGTTTCCTATTACTCTGTGGAATTTCATCTGACTTCCTGTTGTGTCTCCAGGACAGGAAGTGACGGAAGATTTCCTGAGTGGGACACAGACAGACAGAACTTTCCTGGGGTTTCTAATCATTCCCTGCCCAATCCAGCACTGGGAATAAAAGTTTGGCTCCAACAAATGAAAGGAAGAGTGAGGTGTGGTCACTTGGCATATACGTGACCGGTGGGGGTGGTCCCAGACACTGTCTGCCTCTCATTGGCTGCCAATGATGGTCAAGCAGGGCAGGCACAGACCACCGATTAGTCATGTGTATGGTTTTGGCCAATCAGCTTATTTGTGTATTAATAGCCCCTCCCAGTTTGTGACTTTGATCTGCCATGGCAACCTACAGGAAAGTGTCAGCACCAGAGACACACATGGAAGGACAAGGACAATGTGCACAGGACCTGCATTACCTGTAGCCAGGGGTGCTGTGGCTCTCAGGGCCCTCCAGGCAGGGGCCAGGCCTCTCACCACCATCCCCATGTCCTCCTTCCCCAGCTGGGACTTGTAGTTCACCTTCAGGAAACTCCAGACTAAGGTCACTGCTCCCCTCCCTCTAGTGGCCGTGGTGGGAACTACAGGCGTATGACCACAGCGTGTGCGCTCGTGCACGTAGAGGCTTTCTTCTTGTTTACATCTTATTACATCAGCCCGGGCAAGTCATGGGATTCCACTCACTCCCCGACCAATGAACAGCGTCCCCTTAAATGGGCGGTGCTTTGTTCCGGCACTAATCAGCAGACAGGAGCAGCCGGCCAATCTTCATTCAGTATCCTGAAGAGCAAGCGCCAATCGTCGTCCTCTGTGGTTGCCGAGCCCCTGCCTTCCAGATCTTTCCTCGGGCCTCTGCCAATGGAGATGAGGGTTGGCTCAGAGCGAATCGGTGGCCATGCGGCGGTGACTGACAGGGTTGTGGACAAATGAAAGCGCTCGGTGGGCGGGGAGGAGGCGAGTTAGCGCTGGCTTGGCTCATCTGCTCCTCAGTGAAGCGTCTGGAGAAGCAGAGGAGAGCAGTCATGGCTGAGAGCGATTGGGACACTGTCACCGTCCTGAGGAAGAAGGGCCCGACCGCTGCCCAGGCCAAGTCGAAGCAGGTAATGGCTGCCAGGCGAGGAGCGGGCTTCTCTGAGGCCTCCATTGTTGTGTTTTTCTTCAAGGGAGCCAGGCTGGGGCCCAACAGCTGCTGGGAAGACGGAGTGGGAGGACTGGAGAGACTGGCAAGGCATGCTGGGACATCAAGAGGACCTATGGTATTTATATGAAGTTGTGTTCCAGATATCCCTGACCCAGGATCCAGTCCAACTTCTGAGTCCAGCTGTGGCCATGCTTCTTACCTGGGACCTGATGTCCTGCCAGACAATAGCTGTAGAGTCTTCCCTTCCCCTATGACCTCACACATTCTCCACCTATGAGTCAGTCAGGGCTTTCCCTTTTATAAGTCATGGTGTCACCGCTTCCCAAAGCCACCTGCTGTCCCCTGTGGCAGTGTCACCGCTTCCCATTGTCCCCTGTGGCGGTGTCACCACTTCCCAAAGCCAACTGCTGTCCCCCGTGGCAGTGTCACCGCTTCCCGCTGTCCCCCGTGGCAGTGTCACCGCTTCCCGCTGTCCCCCGTGGCAGTGTCACCGCTTCCCGCTGTCCCCCGTGGCAGTGCTCACCGCTTCCCCGCTCCCCCCGTGTGGCAGTGTCACCGCTTCCCGCTGTCCCCCGTGTCCCCGTGTGTTGACCGCTTCCCGCTGTCCCCCGTGGCAGTGTCACCGCTTCCCGCTGTCCCCCGTGGCAGTGTCACCGCTTCCCGCTGTCCCCCGTGGCAGTGTCACCTTCCCGCTGTCCCCCGCTGTCCCCCGCTGTCCCCCGTGGCAGTGTCACCGCTTCCCATGGCCACCTGCTGTTTCCCCATGGCGGTGTCACCGCTTCCCGCTGTCCCCTGTGTTGATGACACCCGCTGTCTCCCGTGGCAGTGTCACCGCTTCCCGCTGTCTCCCGTGGCAGTGTCACCGCTTCCCGCTGTCTCCCGTGGCAGTGTCACCGCTTCCCGCTGTCCCCTGTGGCAGTGTCACCGCTTCCCGCTGTCCCCTGTGGCGGTGTCAGCACTTCCTGTGGTCACCCGCTGTCTCCCATAGCAGTGTCACCGCTTCGCGCTGTCTCCCATGGCAGTGTCAGCACTTCCCATGGTCACCTGCTGTCACCTGTGGCGGTGTCAGCACTTCCCAAAGCCAACTGCTGTTCCCCTTGGCAGTGTCACCACTTCCCACTGTTCCCCATGGTGGTGTCACCACTTCCCGCTGTCCCCTGTGTCGATGTCACCACTTCCTGTGGTCACCTGCTGTCCCCCATGACAGTGTCACCGTTTCCCACTGTCCCCCGTGGCAGTGTCACCGCTTCCCATGGCCACCTGCTGTTCCCCATGGCGGTGTCACCGCTTCCCGCTGTCCCCCCGTGGCAGTGTCAGCGCTTCCCATGGTCACCTGCTGTCCCCCGTGGCAGTGTCACCGCTTCCCGCTGTCCCCCGTGGCAGTGTCAGAGCTTCCCATGGTCACCTGCTGTCCCCTTTGGCGGTGTCAGCACTTCCCAAAGCCAACTGCTGTTCCCCGTGGCAGTGTCACCACTTCCTACTGTTCCCCGTGGCGGTGTCACCGCTTTCCATGGTCACCCCGCTGTCCCCTGTGGCGGTGTCAGCACTTCCTGTGGTCACCCGCTGTCTCCCATAGCAGTGTCACCACTTCGCGCTGTCTCCCATGGCAGTGTCAGCACTTCCCATGGTCACCTGCTGTCCCCTGTGGCGGTGTCAGCACTTCCCAAAGCCAACTGCTGTTCCCCGTGGCGGTGTCACCACTTCCCACTGTTCCCCATGGCGGTGTCACCACTTCCCGCTGTCCCCTGTGTCGATGTCACCACTTCCTGTGGTCACCTGCTGTCCCCCATGACAGTGTCACCGTTTCCCACTGTCCCCCCGTGGCGGTGTCACCGCTTCCCGTGGTCACCTGCTGTCCCCCCGTGGTGGAGTCACTGCTTCCCGTGGTCACCTGCTGTCCCCCCGTGGTGGTGTCACCGCTTCCCACGGTCCCCTGTGGCAGTATCACCACTTCCCATGACCACTTGATGCCATTTGTAGTGACGATACCGTTTCCCAACATGACTCAGTACCATTAGTGGCGGCATTGCTGCTTCCCATCATCACCTGACGTAATTTGTGGTAGCTACGCAACTTCCCTACCTCACCCAACACCATTAGTTGCGGCTCCACCACTTAACAACTTCACTTGTGATGGCTTCACTGCTTATCAACGTCACCCAATGTTATTAGTGGTGGCATCACCACTTCCTATCATTCATTGATGCCATGCATGGAGGAATAATGGAATCTGGAGTGTAACCAGCACTCATAGGGCCGGAATATTAGAGGGAGGTTCATACAATCCCTATATTTCCACACACATCCATTTCTTAAGAAGCTTTCTAACTTTTCAAAGCTTTTTTTCTTTTGGCCATACTTCTCTTCTGAGTCAAAGGCGTGCACTTTTTCTTTCCTGTGACCCAGAGTTTGCTTATAGCAGGCTATCAACTGACTTCACAGATCCGTTTCAGGCTCTGGAAGGATCTGGTCATATTGTCGGGATCCACCTGGCTGCTTTATTTGACAGCCTTCTTTGGCTTAGTATGCGGTTAAGAGCTGCATTTGTCACCTTCTCCAGCCCGGTGCCCCAGTGAGCTCTGGAGCGGCAGAGTAGTGACTGACAGTCATTGCTCTCCACGCTGAGTGGACTGAGAACTGAGTGATCAGTGGTCATGTGATTACTAAGTTCTCAGGCTTAGAGCTGACATGGGACAGCAGCCGCATTACGCCAATGCTGCAGCATAGAGGGGAATATGAAGGTTGTGGGGTTTTTTATTTATTTAGATGGATAGATGTTCAATTTATATTGCCCGATGTCCTGGACATGTAGTTACAGACGTAGGACAAGTATTTTTTTTTTTTTTTTACGTTTAGCCCTGCCGTGGGCTTCCACACAGCCCACTACAGTGCCAGCCTACAGTGCCCCCTGCCCGCTATATCTCAAGCTCAGCTTGCCCATCTGTGAGCCCGGGACCGGTTCAGCAGGTGCCGGCACGTATAGGGGAGGGAGGACGGGCACATCTGCTTTCCTCTCCATCTTTTTCTGACCCGGAAGTGATGTCACTTCTGGTTACCCATTGACAGATTTCCCAGCCATCGAGGCTGGGACTGCATGTAATGCAGTGCGGTGTCCAGTGGAGTACAGGGGAGACTTTGTCCCCTATGTGATTGGGGGGGGGGGGAATGTGAAGTTAAAAAAAAAAAAAAAAGTTACACCCAAGCACATAACCTCCCAAACAAATTTGAGGTCCCCCCTCCACATATGTACGCACGTATGAATGTAAACACACACGTCAGGCGCCTATGCGTGAAAACACTGACTGCGATACACATGTATTGCCACGCAAGCCAGAGAAGGAGCAATAATTCTAGCACCAGACCACCTCTGTAACACTATAACCTATAGAGGCTTTTGAAGCATCGTCTATAGAAAATATAGGGTACTAAAGTTTGCCGCCATTTCACTAGCGGACACAAATTTAAGGTTTGGTATATTGGATATCTATTTGCTCGGTGTGATCTCATCTTTTATATTTTACCAAACATTGGGCAATTTATTTCTGGGACACCAATTTAGTCCCTGGGCAAGTAGTCTTTTCAAAAAATTTCCACACCACTGCAGATTTACAGAGGAGGTCAGGTGGTAGAATTACTTCCCATGAGCTGAAATTCTTGGTGATGAATTAGATGTGTGGACCGAATGCTGTTTGCATGTGTGCAGGACCAACGCATGCGTTTGCCTTTAGGGACGGGTTCTTTAAAAAAAAATTTAAATTTTAACACTGTTGCTTTATTTTTTTATTTTTTTTTTTTATTGCTGTCACAAGGAATGTAAACATCCCTTTTGACAGCAATAGGCAGTGGCAGGTGCTCTTTATCGAGAGATCTGAGGTCAGTAAGACCCCAGATCCTTCCTCTGCCTTTTAACCTCCTCGGCGGTATGATTCTTTCCGATTTTTTTTTTTTTTTTTTTTTTTTTTTTTTTTTTTTTTTTTTTTTTTTTTTTTTTTTTTTTTTTTTTTTTTTTTTTTTTTTTGTGCTGAAAGCGGTACCATTTTTTTGCATGGAAATATGTAGTTTTTTATTGTAGGCTGTAATTTTTAGGAATAACTCACTGAAATCTGTCCGAACAAGAGTCTAGTAAACATTCCGGATATGATAAAACTTGAAACACGAAATCATAAATTATAATTTAATAAATAATCATAAAAAATAATATAATAATTTAATTCAATAATATAATCAAACCAAAAACACTGAAATTTGAAATACAGAGGCAAATTCGCACATCGCTGAGAAAAATCGCAAAATCGTTTTCAGTGTCTGATGGCGAATTTCCCCACGAATCATCACTCAATTCTGCAAGCGGTTCTGATTTACTATCGCTGTTCTAAAACCGCTTTTGACGTAAAGGGACGCTTTTTGGACGCCATGGACTTTTCTAAGTTTCCAGGCAGAAAGAACAGTCAAAATGCAGGCAGGGCACAGGACAAAGCAGTAGGGACAAAATATATGTGAAATGCATTGAAACAGCAAAAATGACATTTTTTAAAAATTTCAAATTTCCCGCCGGTTCCGGCGCCCGTACGTCCCGACGTCACAGAGACCGGAAGCCGGATACCGGCATCGCCCGGAGGAGATGGCCGGGGACGCTGCAGGGGACACATCGCGGGAGCGAAGGACAAGGTAAGTGCTGCAGGGACTCCCTGAGCAACGCCGCATGGTAAGCCCGAGTGTAGCTCGGGGTTACCGCTCTTGGTATTGAAATTTTTCCCCGAGCTACAGTCAGGAAAACCGCTAAGGAGGTTAAAAGCATTTGATCACACAAGATTAGTGTGATCAAATACTTTCCATTTTTAAAAATGGCACAATTTACATACGGAAAAACTGGAAGTGATGTATGCTCATTGCTTCCTGTGTCAGAGTGGAAGCACCAAATGGTCTATCGGGTGTCCTGGTGCAACACAACAGCCCGTG